AMYKTYATTTAGTGATTCTTTATTTTCAAAACCATGCAAGTTTCACATGTTCCAGAAGAGGACAAGGGGGACTAACTTCCATAACACTTTGCAATTACCCCTTTGGTTAAAACCTTGTATTGGCCAAGAAGAAAACAGAGTCTGGAGGTCCCCTGGTATTGGACCCTGTCTATTGAAAAATTGAATGAAAAGAACTCATATGCTATGTTTGCTGAAATAGAGCTGTTGAATGAGAGGAGAAGAAGAAGAAGAAGAAGATATGAGATGGGCGGCAGAAGTGTTCTCAGCCAGCCCTAATCTATTATATATAAGAACATTACATAATGTTACATAAATAGACCAGAATGCCCCTGATTAGTGATGGGACACCTAGTCAAAATAAACACTAAATAAGATTAGGCCCAATAACTAATGACTTAAGACCCAACAAAGATAAACATACAAATTAAGACAGCCAAACCAACATGCTATAAGAAAAGTTGCACTGAATTAACAGGTGGCCAGCTGATTCATTATGGCACCCACATAAGTAACATCTGTTGACCAAACCTGTAATTGGTCAATGGTAGGTATCTTTTCCAAAATAGCAGTTCATGTGAAGAAAACAACCTTGTATGGAGCTTTGGGACTCCAAATCCACCACCAGGGTGCTGGCTCATCACCAGAATAGGTAAGAGCTCCATAATACAATTTGACTAAAAAGCTTCCAGATTTAGCTGCACTGCAATGTCTGCTTTCTTTAGCAGATGACACCAGATGAAAAGGGTAGATCGGCTCCCATCATTTCATAGCTTTCTTTATCATGGACAAGATTCAAAGTATCGATACGCACGATATGCAAGATTCAAAGGGGTGATTCGCTTAGACTGAAATTTTTTTAAGTTCCAATAATTGAGCCAGGAAATCTCTAGAAAGGGTACTCTTCAAAAGTGGCCACATGGCCTAACTCTCAGTATTGAGTGTATTGGTAGGTTCAAAAACCAATATGTATCAACACTTCAAACCTTAATCATACAGCAAATATGGTTTCAAAATCCATGGTCTTTATCAAAGAAGTGGTAAGTTTGAACCATTATCTTAATCAGTAAAATAAAACTTCAAAATCTCCTTTGAGCCAACATAAAACTCAGCATGCATGTCTAGTAATTTCAACTATGAAATTAGACTTCTTTCTTGCTCAAAAGTTTACTGTCAAAGAGAGAGATAATTTTATATGTATGGGTGTTCAAAAAATTTTGTTGAACTATGACACCCAGATACCTGAACATGCTTAGCATGCCCATGTCAAACATGATATATACCTAAAATGATACTGTATACTGCATGGAACAACAAGAGATTCCACATGATTAGATGCAAGGACTAATTTTTAGCATGAAATCTTCAAAAACTACACAATTGCTTTATTTTAATAAATTATACTGAAAATTTGGTAGATATTTCATGCCTAATCAAATTTGACAATGTAAGTATTTAGAAATGATGATTAAATATTAAGGCATGGTATCACCATATTAAGTGGATTCTTCATACCCATATTGTGTCCTCCATTTCCGATACCCTTATTCATGTCTATATCCATATTAGTTGTCAAGTAATAAATAATTAAGTATTACATATATCCTATCATGTCATCCATCCAATTTCTCAAAGCACAAAGGCAGATTACCTTTTTGTATAACATTGGAAGATCTATCTCATCAAAGGGGAGGTACCCAGCCATAAGAACATAGAGAATAACTCCACATGACCAGATATCAGCAGCAGAACCATCATAACCCTGGTTGCTGAGCACCTAAAAGGGAAAAAGGTTTAATTAAGATTGAAGAAGTTGCATTCATAATTGGAACAGTGAAAATTAAGCATATATTTGCATAATTGACAACAAGTACTATTAAATAAAGCAGATAACCAACTAAGTTCACAAAACATGCAAAGGAAAGAATCCCTCTCCTCTTGTCACCCACCTTAAGGAAAACATTAGTTAAAACAGAGCTGAATTAACAATGAGATAGCATGAAAAAAAATGTTCCAAATGAGATTTTTTGAGAGAAAATGATCAAGTCACCTCCCTCTTTAGTTATCAGGTCAGATTTGGATTGGATCCAGCTACACCCAAATCTTATCTGTTTATATAAAGACCAAATCTGAATCTGAATCCAAATTCCAAGGGGATTTAGGGGTCTCAAATTTCAATTCAGATCCTATCAGGTTCTTGGATTTAATCCGAGCTCATTTCAACATCTCTTAAATAAAGAAAACTTAAAACTGTAAATAATCATTCATTAACATATAGAATAAATTTATGTAAATATGAAATAATATATTTTGTTAATTATAAACTTTATATATTATTTATGAATATGTATAATTTAATCATAATCAGATCTTAATTGGATTGAATGGAGTTAGATCAGAATCTGATCCACTTATGTAAATGGATCATCTGAATTCAAAATAATCAGATCACATCTCAGATCAGATCTGGGACTTTTCAAAGTCCATTGACAACCCTACCAATGTGGAAAGACTGCTTTCTGAGACAATGTATTATTTCATGATTTTAATAACTGGCATAATAGCTTAGAAACTCAATACATAAACTAATTAAGGACCCTCGTATCCAATTAAGATCTGATTATGATTAAATTATTTGAATACATGCTCCTACATAAACTAAACTTAATTATGTAGAAAGGCCCTCTTATTTGATACTTCACCTCCTACAAATTAAAAAATTCAACTTAATTCAAGTACAAGAGATTCTGACATGAAAGTGCACATAGGCCAAAGAAAACCAACAATGGTAAACAAACATATAAGACTCAAACTTGAAGTGAAATGTAGTTTGCATAATATCAAAAGGTTCTTAAGAAAAAGTGGTACCTCAGGTGCAACATAATTTGGGGTTCCACATGTTGTATGAAGAAGTCCAACTCCCTAAAATTGATGTAATCAAAAGCAATAAAGGATGTGTGCAGTTAAATGCAAACTTATCCATTGAAACCAAATGTAGGAGGACATGCTTACTTGTTGGGGCAATGCACTAAGTCCAAAATCAGAAATTTTCAAGTTTCCTTCGGCATCAAGAAGAAGATTTTCAGGCTACAGATAATGAGAAAGGAAATAAAAATTAAGGGCCTATAACTAGAAATCATGGTTTTTCAAAGGAGAAAAGAAAACATTAACAAGTTTCCAACCTTTAAATCTCTATGGTATACACCCTTACTGTGGCAGTAATCAACTGCATCAATAAGTTGTTGAAAGTATCTCCGTGATTCATTCTCAGGAAGCCTTCCTTGATGAACCTAAAGACAGTGTAATGATAAACAAAAAAATAAATAAATAAAATAAAATAAGGGGAACTTGGAGAGAACCAGCTAGAAATAACATATAACCTTGAAAAAATGCAATACAATTATTTGTCTTGTTGCACCAATAAAAGAAACTGTAATTGGTTATCAGACATGTGGAAATACAGAGGTGTAGCATGAAATACAAACTTGCAGAAATACAAAAGTAAAGAAAAAGGAACAAAAAGAAAAAGAGAATTATGGGCTGTTCCACCAATTAACAACTCGTCAAACAAATGAGATAATGGAGTCTCACAACTGTAAGAAGAAGAATCTCACTTCTGTAGACAACTGAAGTTACAGAGCAAAATCATCTTGAAGAAGAAGATTTCAGAAAGAGGGATACAGTTCCTTCCAAGTCAAGAAATCCTAGTTGTCATCAGATGTAATATTCTTAAGAATGTTAATTATATAAAAAAATTACAAAGGACCTTAAGAAAAGCATGAGGCACATGCTAACTGTCCACAACTTTCTCTCTTCAAAAGTTGGGTTTGCTGGAGTGGATGGTTTTAGATTAACCCAAAGTAGGGTGCAAGTTGGACCAAGTTGGGTTGGGTTGAGGTCGACCCTAATCCAACCCGACTTTTTTCAGGTTGGGTACAGGTTGACCTGGTTTCTTCACTTCCTTCTGCTAAAATGTTCTTATTTTTTAAACTTAAGGGCAGTGGATTAAGGTTCACTGGTTTTAGCATTAGTTTTATTTCTTAAACTCAAGGCTAGCATTAGGTTCACTTATTTCTTAAACCAAACCTAGATACTAGAATTGAAAAATTAGCTATGGCATTCAAAGAAGTTAGCCCTCGTTTGGAAGTGCTTATTTTTAAGCACTTATTTTAGGACGGGACCATACCAATAAGCACTTATGTGTGTTTGGGAAATAAGCCCCAATAAGTGCTTATTCATGGAAATAAGCCCATTTTGAATAAGAACCCAAGAAGGTGCTTATTTTTAAGCACTTGTTGAAAAGCAATTATTCCTTTCTGACCCATCTTGGCCCACCACATAATTTTTAAAATACCTATACTACTACCATTTGAAAGAAGCACTTTTTCACCAAATACTGGTAAGTACTTATTTGAATAAGCACTTATTTTAACAATAAGCACTCCCAAACAAGGCCTTAGCCTTCTTAGCCTCTCCTTCCCACATCAGGGCTTCAAATTGTCGTATGCTACACTGCTGAGTTTCACAATGAATCCATCAAATTCCTTCTGAGCAAAGAAGAATAAAGGCATGTTTTATGAAGAACTAAATAATTTCTTTGGATTTTCTTTAACAACTTTTACAATTTATTTAGATCCCTTTAAAGAATCACACCTACCTTTCTAGAAAATGTAGCAATGTAGTACCAGTTAGACATTTATTTGAGCTACCAAACATGCAAATGCAATATATTTTTTTATCAGTAGGTACTAGCTAGGGAAATATATTTAGATAATCAATAGGGAACATCTCACCAAGTTCAAATAATGGTTCAGGCAAAATGATTTCCTATTGCTCAAATCAATTCATGGTTGAAATTGAAATTTGAACTAGAATGGTGGTTCAATGATGAATAAGGTGACAGAAGATTCTTATTCAAGGGTTGGGGTTAGAGAGAGAGAACTGCTCTATATGTCCTAGGCTCCAAATCAACAAATGCTAAAGGGACTGCCTTGCATGTCCGTAGAGTGAAGAGCTGTACCACTTTTCTCCTGTGATCACAACTCGAAGGTAGACCTTCCAACCCTAGATATTCCCTTTATGTAAATGACATCAAAGTTCATAATTCATATAAACAAAAACAACTTCCTTCACAAACCAACAAAAGGAAATTCTAATTAACAAAGATATATACATTAAAGTTATCACTCATCAATTTATTTAAGAGAGATTTACAGAGGACTTACTATTTTATCAAAAAGTTCTCCTCCGGTTACAAAGTCTAAGATGATATATATCTTTGTCCGGCTTGCCAAAACCTTAAGAAAGAATGAGCAGGAAAAAAGCCCGTCTCAATAAAGGCATTAAGAAAAGCACTAGTAAGAACAAAACATGGCTTTACAACATACTGATGAAGTCTTATAAGATAATGGATCCAGAACATCAAGCATAATTGTAAAAGCATCTAGGCATCTAGGCTATTCTAGGCAACAGGGGAGCACCATTGCCAAGTCCCCTAGGCACTAGAACTTTACAAGAAAAAGAAAATTCTAGGTTAGTTTCCTAATTTTACATACCAATCAGCATGCATATAAATTGAAAATACCAATTTTCTTTATTAATAGAATTAATTTTCCTCTCAAAATATAACAAAACATCATATATAAAAGATAATATCATTTTAGATCAATTAATTTTAATATTTCAAATGCAACACTATAACATAGTATTTAATAGACCAATTGCATAATAAAAAACCATTAGAAACTAAATAAATCCATAAATTTATACTAATAAAAAAATTAAGAGACGGAGTAACGAGGAAGGAAAGGAACAAGGATGGAAAATCCCTTTTATCTATTTGCGAGAAAGAGAGAGAGAGAAACTGTAGAAAAAGAAATAAAAGACTATCAATTTCTTCTCTCTTTTTCCATTCTTAAAACCCTTGGTTCTTTTATGTTTTAATGGTAAAATCCTTAAAGCATAAATATATGTAATATACTATAGGATGCACTAACATACATGGTAACAGTATATGATCAGAGTAATAATATTACAATAAGGTGCCTGCCTTGTGACTTTTATCACCTAGGTGAGCACCATTTTTATAGATAGCTTTTTTTATTAATATTTTTATACATGGCTTTCAGGCAAGGCATCTAATCAAGGACACCTTGTTGCTTAGGCAATACCTTGACAATTATGACACCAAGATATATTAATATCAGCCATATAAATAAGTCATGCAGCAAGATGTAATGTCATACCTCGTGCAACCTAACTATGTTAGGATGTCTGACAATCTTCATTATAGATATTTCTCTCTTAATCTGCAATCCAACTCATAAAGAAGTTAGCTGAACAAAGAACATGGAGAAGAAAAGGTATGAATGAAGCTCAAAAGCACAAAATGGACAGAACAGCATAAGATGATGCCTGTACCAACTGTATCAAGAATACCAGAAAACTAAGTATTTGTAGAAGCCTATACTAAGGTCACTCTGAAAGAAGTCCTAAATGTGAAAGTTAATTCCTCCTTATTCATGTTTAATTTTTCTACTTTTAGATTCACTGTTTAGCTTTGTCCATCTAGAATTTTAGATGATAGCCAAACTAAGCATTGATCTTCTTAAAGAACTTAAATTTTAACTTCAACATTTTTGGATTAAAGATTTGTGATCATCATGGACAGAAAATGCTACAGAGGTTGTCCCTTGACAAACTAAGCTTTAGCTTCATTATTTAGATTGTCCATCTAGAATTTTAGATGATAGTCAGAATAAGTGTTGATCTTCTTAAAGAACTTAAATTTTACCTTCAATAGCCTCTTTGGATGGAATATTGGTGATCATCATAGGCATAAAATGCTACAGAGATTGCCCCTTTGCATGCTGAAACATAAAACGAGGCAACCCTAGGCCCATTTTACGGTTAGTCTGATTCTAAATGACCAATCCTGCCTGATTACCCAGTATAACATGGTGACTGAGCACGAAAGTTATCAAGTATATACTAGAATCACATTGAAAGCACTCCATTCAACAACCAAGTATCAGAGGACAGGTGATGAGTACACAATTCATATAACAATCAGAAGTCCTACTAACAGCTACTGCATGAAAGCAGCAGCAAATAGGAAAACAAAAGAAGAAGAAATAACTTGAAATAAAAACTCCGGGAGTTGCGTTAAGTAAAAGAAGAATGTTCTATAGCTGGTTGCATAAAAAACCAAATTTTAAGATATGAAGACCATAATTACCTGATCCACCATTTTGTGTTTAAGTATAGTGCTTTTGGCCATAACTTTCATAGCAACACTCTCTCCAGTCTCCGTGTTTTGTGCAAATTTAACCTTTGCAAAAGTTCCTTCACCAATCGTTCTTCCGACCTCATACTTCCCGACCTTTCTTGTTACCATTTTCACAATCTCTTCAAATTCATTTCCTCAGAGGACTCCGGGTTTCAATGAAATTCTCCGTTCCGTTCAGAGGGAGGAAGACAAGCGCCACATATCCTGAGCGCATAATAAACAAAACGCAAGAAAGAGAGAAGTAAGAAAAATAAGGATTGATTAAGAATAAGAACAAAGCGAAAAAATATATGTTCTGGAACTTTTGCAGCAATGTCTACATCCATCCATAACGAAACGCAAAAAAGGAGAACCTGGAAGTAAACATGGCACAACGAATCCGTGATTTGATAAAAATTGCGACTTGAGAATAGTGAGAGGTGAGGAATTATTCGAAACAATTCGAATATATCCGATGTCTCGGTAGATTCCTCACCGGAAAATGTAAAGAATCGTGTGGGAACTCGACGGAAAGTAGAGAAGATCGCCGGAGAAATCAGATCAACAAACGCTGCTTAACAGCCGAAGTCAAAATTCTATTACGTCTTCGAAACAGAGGAAGAAACAAGAGCTAAGAGCTATCAGAAGGCTGCTGCCTGCTGGAGTTCAATTGCCCCCTTTAACCGCTCGAATCGAATGGTCCTTTATTTCTAAAGACAGGTTGGAATAATTAATTAATATTATTAATTGAAGCCACATAACTTGATCAACAAATAACGAATCATAATTCTTAGGGAAGATTACCGATTAATATCATTTTAGTATGGGCCTAATGTCATTTTAGTTCCAAATTTTAAAATGTTATAAATCTATAATTCAGTCTTAAAATTTTAAAATGTGTCGATCTAATATTTATCGGTAATAAACCGTTAGTTATATGTGATATATGCATATTAAATATTTTAAAAATGACAAAATTAACTTTTAGGGGTGTTTTTTTTTGGGATTTTGAGAGGGAAAAATTGATCAATCCAATTTTGGTTTTCATTGACCAAGAATTTTACGATTCTTTTTTATATTTACGTGGAGAGCAGGAAAAGTTTATTTTATTAGGTATCACTTAACCGATATCCATATACTAAGTGGATAAATAACTTTCTCACTTGGGGAGAAATTATCAATACTTGAATGGGACAAAAATGACTATTTTAATAATAAATTTTTATGATTAAAATAATTATTATTTTATTCACATGAGAAATTAAAGAATATGGATAAATGCACTTACCCAATTAAATGTCTCTGCTGAAAAACTTAAGATAAATGCATTTATCCGAATAAATAACTTATCAAAAACCAAACAGCTCATCCTTTTAGATAGAAATAAGACATTGTTCATGTGTATCCATATTGACACTATTGTCACATGTCATTCGGTGTCCGTTTACTGCCACTGCACTCGAACTCGTTGTCACATCCCACTATAGTCATCCCTCTTGAAGTCAAGTTGCTCGGGACGGTGACACTGCAAAGCTTATAGTGAACCAGCTCGGGATGGCTATATAACCCAGGAAATGGCTTGACCCCACAAAGTATTTAAAGTCTGTTTCAGTATGGTGAAACTTGAAAAGTTGAAAGTTGAGTGACGGGTTAGTTCTTTCGGCGAATAGCAAAAAAAAGAAAGAGATAACATAGTTCTATATATGCTCGTTCAAGAGTTCTTCGGTAAAGGTGAGCATAGCCATACTCCCTCCAAATCTAGTTTTTTTATTTGTTCTGGTGTAAATGTAATGGCTAGCGTTTTTAGAGACTTCCTGTTCTTGTGCTTGTACTTTGCTTTGCTCCATACTGTTGTTGGGTTGAGCTTTGATGGAGAAGCTCTGCTTTCACTACTAAAAGACTTGGTTGTACCTCCCTCAATCAAGTTGAGCTGGAATTCAAACGATTCCACACCTTGTAACTGGATAGAATTCAATGTGATGGCCTGAAACAGAATGTGATCTCCTTGAACCTATAGGGTCTGGAAATCTCTGGTTCATTGAGACCGGAGATTGGCCAGTTAAGATCCCTCAAGACGATTGACCTTAATGGCAACAATTTCTCGGGTTTGAACCCCGCAGAGTTGTTCAATTGTAGTCTACTTGAATATTTGGATCTGTCTACGAATGGTTTCACCGGTGATGTGCTTGGAAAATTAGCAAACTTGTGGAAGCTTGGATTTTTATCTTTGCTTGAGTGGAAGAGATACTAGAGTCTTTGTTCCAGATTCCACGTTTGAACACAATTTATCTCTATAGTAATGTCGAATGTAAGAAACGACTGATCTCGTTTCTCTATGGCTCTGTAGTAATCAATTTTCAAGGATAATGCCAGAATCTATTGGAAATTGTACTAAATTGCAAGAATCGTCTTATAGTGAACCATCTACGGAGGATTAGGCATCAACTCGGTCTTGAGACAGTCATTTCATTGGTTTTTCTCGGTCAAAATTGCAAGAGCTCAGAAAACTAGACTTACCTATGGACGGGAGATGATGAAATTGGATATAACGATGTAATGAGTTCTCCGCATATTATGTCATAAGTAGTATAAATGCGTAAATAGACAAAAAAAAGTCATGCAAATATGAAAGAGAATGCCATGCACAGCTGTGTTGTTCGCCACTTTTCTTATGGTTGATAAAAAAAAAAAGGGAAATTTCCATATTAGTATCTATGGAAATTTTCATATTACTATCCTGTATTTTGGGTCTAGTGCCATTTTGATTCATAAACTTTAAAATGCGATAATTTTATTAATCTAATAACTGTCATTAACCAGCCATTAAGTGTCATTTGAAAAAACAAAAACATCTTTCGAGTGTTATTTAATTCTCTTTATCAATCATCTAAATATTGACAAAAAATGAACAATCCTAAATCCTTGCCTTTTCTATTCAAAAAAGTTTGAGTCACTAGAATGCTCACTGAGATATAACCCCAGCTTTCTTGAATAGAAGAGGCAAGGATTTGATAATGTTCATTTTTATCAACATGTGGATGGTTGATAAAGAAAATTAGATGACACTCAAAGGGCATTTGTCAAATGTCACTTGACGGCTGATTAACGGACTGGTTAACAACAGGTACTAGATTGACACATTTTGAAAGTTCAGATACTGAGTTGTCGCGTTTTAAAGTTTTGGAACCAAAGTGGCACTAGGCCCAAAGTACAGGGTACTAATCGAGAATTTTCTCTAAAAATTTAGATGACACCTAAAGGGTATTTGTGTCTTTTATATGTCACTTAATGGGTGGTTAACAATAGGTGCTAAATTGGTATGTTCTAAAAGTTCGAATATTAAATTATCGCGATTTAAAGTTGGAGGACCAAAGTGACACTAAGCCCAATCAGAATTTTCCCTAACTCTTAAACGACCATAACACTCAAACATCCACAGGATATTGGGATTTGCTCCTCACAGAGCACACCTCACACTGGAACCCAGATTTCCTACCCATTCTCTACTCGCAGTGAATTAGAGTCACACATCTCTCAATTCATAATAAAGATGTGTGGCTCCAATTCACGATGAGTAAAGAGTGGATAGGAAAAGTGAATAGGAAATCCCAAATGCTCACACTGGCCTCACCCACGAGAAATGTTCCCGATGTGTAAATAGGACATGTTGTGACATCAATGTGAGACACGCTTTGTGAGGAGCAGATCCGAACTCGACTGGAGAAGTGGAAAAGGAGAACAAATTGAAACGTGCATATCTCAATTTAGCCTTGCCTAGGTGGCTAGTGACGGGATCTGCTCCTCACAAATGGGCGCCTCATAGGCACATCCACCGTGCATTGGGAACATCTCTCATGAATAATAGCCAATAATTACAGGAGATGTTCCCAATGCATGATAGGATGTGCGTGTGCGGCGCCTGTGAATTCAAATCGGACCAGGCAATATCCGAATTCAAATCCGATATCCGAATTCGATTCAATATCCAATAGATATTGAAAATTAATATCTGAATTCGAATCCGATTAAATATTCGAATATTCGATTCGATTCGATTCGAATTCGATTAATTAATTATTTTAGATAAATAATAAATATAAAAATAAATATTTTATTAATATAAAGTATATAAATATATAAATTATATAAAATATTATATATATTGTATATAAGAATTAAATAATCGGTCGAATTCGGATATTTATCGAATCAAATCAGGTCATATCCGAATTTGAATCCAATTAACTATTCGATAAGAATAAAATATCCGAATTTGACCGATTATATATTTAAATTATCCGAATTCGATTTGATTATGTCCAATATCGAATTCCAAATCGGATTTTAGAATAGCGTTGACACCACTATATATGTCTGACTTGAAAATCGAATGAGGTACAACATTCTGCCACCTTGCTTGGGCAACGCTCGGTGCAACTCCCACAGTATTTTTCCGTACGGTGGAGCCCATGTCTGTAGAGAAAAGAATTCGGACTTTGCTTATGATTAGACAGTATTTATTCATTTAGAGGTACTTAGACAAAGAACAATGCTAGCGCCACGGACCTTGTCGGTTGTTAAATCATAAAGAAACAACGTAAAGTATGAGTTTTTTTATAAGTTGACTGCATTATACGTCAGAATTCTCAATTTAACTGCACTTACAATAATTTAAAATTATAAATACCTTCACTTATAATATTCATTCTTATCCGTGAATTGACATTAATTGCGAGTTGATAATAGAATTAAGATTTCTTCGTTGGGTTTGCGTCATGCCCTTATGTGATCATTGGAATAACCGCCCAAGTGGTTGAATTGAATTATTTATTACTTTGTCTTTAGATGTCATGATAAAAAGTTGTAGAGTTATAGGAGTAGTTGAGGCAACATTCCATTCAGCCGCTAAGCAGCTCAGCTGACAGAACACTTGAGCCCGTTTGGGAGGATTGAGTTGCTCAGAAGTCAGAAGAAGCTATTAAAATTAGCTTTACCATAAAGTCACTTTATTGCCTCAATGAAAGCATGTTTTGGTTTTGTGGCTTTTTCGTCAAACACAGTTTCTACTTTCTAAGTTTTTATGTGAGGCCCAATATATAAAACCAAAAGCTTCTGCCCGAAAACCTTTCCAAACGGGCACCTATTAAAACATCATTCAGTTCAACTTCAGCCTGTTCAACCAAGCAGGTGCTAATTTAGTAGGAGGGCCTACCACTTGCTGACATAAATCCTTTGATACTTTATTTAAACAAATCAAATTCACGTGGGAAAAACATTAACACACTTGTTACATCAGCTCTTCCTTTTTCAAATTTTCTTAATTAATTTTTACCTATGAGAGAGGGAGAGATAGGGTTTACTTGATGCGAGAAAATGTCAAAGAGTTTAGGGATAAATTGGCTCTACTACATCCCTCCAAGGTCACCAACTACTGGATGAATAATGCAAAATGGTCACACCATTGATTAAAGTATCCCAGCATTTGCCACATCAGTTTATCCTTTGCTAATTTTTTTCATCTCTCCTTACATGTGATAAATAAATAAAGGGTTATTATTAAAACTGCCTTTTGTTTTCCTCGGCTCAGTTTTAAAACAGTAAATATATACAAAATAATATAAAATATAAGGTTTTACACTGTATATATTTATATTTATACTCTTTCCAAACTTATCCAACTTTTCAAAGC